GACTAAGTTATGTAGACCAGAATTTCAAGTGGGTTTTTACATACAGCATTGCATATTAGTAAAACATCTGTTTTGCTGGTGAAACAAAAAGGTAAGCTTGTGTTAAGTGGATGCATCCATTCCTTTAATTTTATGTGAACTCCATCTGAAAATGTTTGTGGTGAGTTTTGAAAGTATTTGTGATTCTGTGTTTAAGTAAAGGAAAACAGGTTCTTATCCAATAGATAAACAATCTTTTTATTTAATGAATTCTGTTTGATCTATTAAAGCATAATTGTTGTGAGGATAAAGCCTTTGAGGGAAGATTAATATATATTTAGATCATTACAAAATTACCTTCTTTCTCTTATATTGAGAGATATATATATATAGCTTGAAAAATAAAATTACACAAAAAAAACTGAGTAATGCTGCTCTGAAAGCTTTTACTTTTAAAATAACTCAAAACTTTCCTTTGAAGCCTAAAGTAGAGATTATACTACATACTAAAAATAAGTTTTGGTCACAAAGGTCATACTTTTGAACAGGTGACTGTGCTGAAAACATAGTTCTGTTTACTGGGAACAGTTTAAAGCCACAGAAGATGAGTAGGAGAAGGAGTGAGCTGATATATACATACTCATCTCATATCTGAGCTGACTTTGTTTTCCCAGTGTTTGTTGTTTATTTGGGTGTATTTTAACTATGCCATATTGCAAGAGCCACAATATAAATTAGAAGAAGAATATCTGCAATAACAAAATACCATTTCCTAGAGGCATAGTTTATTTTCTTGTCTTTCAGGATTTGTTTGTGGGCTTTTTAGACATTAATAATTAGTGTAAACTGAAAGTAAAACTCAATTTAAAATACAATAATGTGGAACTGGAATAGGTAAGATTATTTTTTTTTTCCCACTCTGCATGCTTTAGAGGGGTTTGTCGCAGATATGTCTGAATATTAACTTTTTTCAGTTTTCTTAGTTATGTATTTGTTCATTGGTGTTCTGTGATTTTTCTGAGGATTTTCCAGGATGAACTTTTAGATGATTTCATTAACTGTAGATTCCACGAGACAGGAATCCTTGGAGAATTATGATGCACAGATACCTTTATTAAAGACTTAATTTATCAAGAGCATTTCACAAAGGGAGAAAAAGCCTTCTTTTGAAAAGTTAATTAAAACATAAATTCTGTAATGAATGTTCTCTCAGCCTCTATTAAAAGAGGAATTTTTCACATAAACGTTAAATACTAGGTGATTGTAGACAATCCAATAGGATAATAGTGGAATTACATTCCCTAGACTCCCTAGAAGGACTTTTTTCCCCTGTTCTGGCTCTTTTGCTATTAATTTAAAACAAATATAATAGCTAAAGATGCTGTTACTTAAAAGGAAGTGTTCTTAATTATTTCAAGTGCTATTTTGGGGCATTGTTGCTGTTAGAAATTTCTGTGTAAATCTAATCTGTTTGGAAGTGAACTCGTCTACTTCCTGTGTATTTCAGCCCAACTATTTAGAATTTGATCACTTCACACTAATGCACGTATCTAGAGGAGAGGGTAGTTTTTCAGTGAAAGCATGCAATAAAAACTGGGAACTTGGTAGTACAGACATGTGCTTTGGACAGGAGGACAACTATTTGGTTTCTGTCTTCTTTTCTCTTTAGTTGCAGTTATACTGGCAGAGAATATATCACCAGAAGTGACCTGGGGGAACTAAGGATAGACTACCAGTTCACTGTTCAAATTATACAGGAAATTAATACAGTTTCAGACTCCCTCTCAAGGCAGACACCTACACGGTTTTTCAAAAAATACCAGTTCTCTGGTAGGCATTTACCTAAAGTCAGCACATGCTTGGACTCAGAAGATAATTGTAGCGAGAGGATTACGTGGCCCATGAAGAAGAGCTGTCCTGCTGTTAAATTGTGTCAATGTGAAAATTCTGATCATTTGAGAAAAAGCAACAGCATATATCATTTTGAGACATCTGACATCACATTTAGACATTAGCAGTAGGTTCTTCTAGAAATAATTTATTCTTCTCATGTACAATTCCATATAAAGGAGGCCACTGAAGAATCAATGCAGAGTAACAGGAAATACAGTAATTCAAATGTTAATAATTTCATAGGGAAGATTAGCTTCTCAAGATGTACAAGTTTTGAAGGTGAAGACAGCAAATGCTGTTAAGAAGGAAGATTGTTGGAGAGTTCAGGTAAACCCTCTGAATCAATAAAAATGCTTCTCCATTAGTAATTCTGAAGCATCCTTAAGATATGACAGTCTAGATTAACCTGGGTGTTGGGTTTTTTTCAGGTTTGACCTTACAAGGGATTTAATGACCGTTGTATAAGCTCAGGCTGAGAGTCCCAACACATCACAGTGTCCTGTAAACCTTATTTTTGAGTGAAGTGGAAATGTCCTTCTTCAATCCTGACCTCAATTTCAATACCTCACTATAGTAGCTGAAAAGTTTGCACAGCCTGGATTAGAGATAACCAAAGCAAGCAGTGCTGAGGCTGTTAGTCACACCTGCTCAGTGTCATTTACATGCTTCATCAAGCATGGAACCACGTCAAGCCAATAGCTGTGTAAAATTGCTTTAAAAATCTACTGCATCATTTGAGAAAGAAGGGATGGATATTCCCTTTCTTGCTGAATGGACCTTGTTTTGTGAATGAGGAAGATTTGAACAGGGTTTGGGGTCGTTTGGGTTTTTTTAATGACTGTTCTGAATGTAGGAGCTACTAAAGGAATGCTTGATAACTGAAAACAATTAACAGATAACACTAAAGACTAGTTTGGGGTAGCCAATAGGTATGATCAATATGAACAAACAGCATTGGCTCTGTGGAGCGTAGAATATTTGGACCCAAGTGTGCTGTGGTCTATTTAATGTTTATATACCTCAAGTGAAGTAATAAGAATTTCCTGCTTGTTTTGCAAAAAGGCTCTAGTCATGTAAAACACTTAAGTCAAAACCAGTGCTAGCAGCTAGAATTCAGTACAGCACTCCTTATATCTTTGAGTTACACTTCTGTCTCTTTCCTACGCTTGCAGCAGAACAGGTCTGCACTGCCCTTTACTGAGGCTTAATTGGGGATATCAGTCTAACCATAAATTTTCACCTGACAAGCAGCTAAATATAGAGACTGCACAGGAGTACTCACAGACATAAACATACAGTCCAGAAGTACTTGGAGGTAATACACCTTTTCCTTAGGTGAACAAGAAAGTCAGTGAGATTACTGATAAAAATACAGATTGCTTTCTTTTTAATTAAATTTTGAAGATTTTTCCAAACAAGCAGTTGTTTTCATCATATATTTTATATGGCTTTTATCTTAGAATGGGTTTGTGTGAACTGGCACAACAATGCAATGCTCAAATTGAAAATCCTATGGTAGAATAATTAGCTGTCTAAAGAAAAATATTTTTTTTAATCATGCAGACATTTTATTTGTTGGGAGTTTTTTATTCAAAGAATTGATATGACACTTGTATGCAATAGTATATCCATATGCAGTACCATCTTTGTAGCAACTTGTTTTGTACTGTATGAGTTTGTAGATAACAGCATTAATAAGAGCAATATCCCCACTGACTTTTGGTGTTAGTGCTGGACAAATGTTTAGCATGGTTTATTTGAAAAAATGTAAGCTTCAGGTCTACTGTCTTTGAGTATGGGTTGAATTCAGAAAACTGTTTCTATTCTCATCTCTTTCCTTTTCTGAAAAGAGATGGAAAAAAGTAATAAAAATCAAAGTAAGCCTTTCAAAATGAAGTATTTCAGGATTTATACAAGCTTTTTTAAATTATTAAGATCACAAATTTTTTTATTCATATGCAAAATTGAAAAATCAATTATTGCACTGATTTAGCATTTCTCACAGGTACAAAATTATTCACATGCAGAATATCTGCAGGAGCGTGGTTTAACTGTGATTGTTTGAGCTTGCAGATTTTCTTATATTTAGAAATATCTAAATATCTTAATGATTAAACATTTATGAGTAAATCTCCTGTTAAAGTCTAAACCACTAGGCTTTAGAAAGTATACTGTAGGTGGAGTTGTGCAAGCTTCCTTGTGGAGCTGTGCCAGTACATGGGAATCTGAATCTGAAAAGTCCTCTTTATTCAAATACTGGACTCCTCGAGAGTAGGCTTTTGGAGTGGCAAATGAAAATGAGGTTTTAGAACTTACTCCTCTTTGGAAACAAAACTTGTTTCAAATCTAGTGTCTCACAGAGAAAATCCAGTGAGCTTAACTCTGTGTTGTCTGGCATCTCTATACTTGAGAAACCGTTCTCCAATGAAGCAGTAGCATTTTTCACTGTCATATTCAACTGTTTTCTGATTTTTGTGTCTTTTTTCTTTTTAAGATGTTTTTCTTAAGTATACAGCTGAGGAGACCAATAACAAAAAGATAAATCCATAGATGATGAAAGGATTTTCCTGAGCTTAGTAGTTAACATAATAGTTTGAAAAGAAAAGAATTTACAAGTACTTGTTCAAATGCACTATGTAGAGAGTGAATAAAATAAACAGCAAGATGTGTTGTGATAGGAACTCAGATGATCAAAGGGAACTACTGAATAGGCATAGTTATTCTTTCAGATAAAATAAGGAAGTAATTCCTTTGAGAGTTTTTGTGATCATTTCTGTTGGAAAACTTTGTATGCATTACTCAGAAATTCAATGAAGAGAAAAGCAATACAGCCTAGATAATAGTGTCAGCTTTGAGCACGAGGTGGCATGTGGACATAGCTTGAGCTATTTCTCCAAATCATTTGAATGGAAATATTGGATTAGTTAACCTTGTGTCAGGTCTGTTAGTTAAATAAACCCTCCAACTGTTCCTGACTGAAGGATGCATAGTTGTGACTGAAAGATGCTGCTGCTTTTCATTAGAATTTTGTCAAACATGTCCTGCTAACATAATGATTTTAAAATAAAATGGTTTATTCGATGGAAAAGGATAACAAGCAGAAAATTCACAGCCTTTTCTTTTCACAGGGTGTTTCAGCCCAGTAGGAGATCCTCTTAGCCGAACACTATTGGGTAGACTACAGACGGTAAGGAATTCTATCTTTGCATTTTTTTTTAAATTGATGTTTAACTATAAAATGTCATTATTCACAAGTTCTCATTGTAGAGAGGTGGGGGTTTTTTTATCCTGTCTTTATTCACAAATGAGGTATCTTCAAGCAAATTGTCTACATGGGCAAATAAGCTTTTGCTACTGCCAGCTGGTAGCAAGATCAGATATCTATCTGCAAATGAAAAGCTTTATGCTTTTTCATGGTTTACTTTTTGTTGTTTAGAAATAAATAAGCTAAAATCATAGTCCTGTGTTTTGATTTTTACTAAGAATACAGGCATTGGTAAGTAGGGAGAGAAAGCCAGGACAATAACTTGAAATTGAATCCTATTTACAGCAACATGTTTGCATTGTTTACTCATACTTCACCTTTTTGTAACAAGTGAAATCACAGCTATCCTCTGTTTGTTTAATTGCTTATCTGCTAAATATTGATTGGAAACTTCTAGTAATGATATTTGTTCCTTTATTTCTGGTTTCCTGATCACCATAATAAAAATTCCACAGAATCTATAAATGCCATTAATTCTAACTATACACTTGATAAACCTGGATTAAACACAAAATGAATGGAGAGACTACTGATGGAAGAACGAGTGGTGCTTCTGAATACTGAATGTATGTGTGGCTTTAGAAAGCCAGGCCTGTTGTACTGGCGATGTTAATTCTCCTGCACACATGGACAGAATGCCATGATTTAATGTTCTGTCTCAATTGCATGCTAATAGTAATTTTTCAGAGAAATATTACAAGTGGACATAAATTAACTTGGATCATTTATAGCTGTTCTACAGTTTGGATTTAGGGTTTTGGTTTGAGTTGGTTTAGGGGTTTTTTTGGACCTACCTTATTTAACAGAATCTGTTAAGAGAGTTGTGGAAGGCTGGTAAATAACATAGGATTCACCAAGAAATTTTGAAAGTACGGCTTGACATTGCGTTTTGTTAGTGGCGAAGTGGTTCTTGTTTTCACATTTTCAATTTTTTAGCCATCAATTTATAATTTTTAGGAAAAAATATAAATTGTTCAATCAGTATTTTGGTGTTCTCTGTTACAGCAAGCTCTTTAAACATTTACAGGATCAACTGTTCTGGAAAATACTAAATAGCAATTAATTTAAAATATTTTTTTCTGAGAGGGTTTAATTAAGGTTTTGAATATTTTTGTTACTTTTTCTGTTATAAATGCAGTAATATATATGTTATAAGTGCAGGTAAACTGAGTAATTTATATCAAGAAAGTAGCATATTTACAAATGACAAAATAGTTGAAGAGGTTTTGAATAATTTCAGGAGCTGGAGTATTTCACGTGCTTCTGAATTGATCTTTTTTCCCTTTTTTGTTTTTTGTTTGTTTGTTTTTGGTTTTTTTTCTTATCCTTGTAGGCTTTACTGCAGCAGCTGTGTTTGCGTTTCTGTTTTCTGTTTGTACATTGCAGGTTTCAATAAAGTACAGCCTGGCACAGTTTTGGTTTTTTTCCTCTAGGCAGATTATAGATTCCCATGCTCATTAAATATTGAAAGGCTGTAATCAAATAAGAACTGTAGTCATCTGGAGCCTAAGGAAGTAACTTTACAGTGTCTACAGACAGATTAATTAAGACCAAAGAGGAGTACATTATTCTTAGCAATTAATACTTTTAGAATCATTTTAATTTGACTGTTAATACTGTCCTGTCCTTGTACTTCTATTTCCCATAGACTAAATTTGTACAGTTAAGTGTCCCGAGCTAGGACTGTATTGACAATTGGACCAGAGAACAAGAACAGTAATATGACAGTGCTAACAATATTCAATTATTTTATGCTAAGTGTCTATTTAGTGTTTCATTTAAGGCTTCAGTTACTGGGGTAAAGAGATTGTGTGACTTTCTTAGGGAAGGAGAGGATTAAGTAAATTTCTAACCACTGGGTTCATAAGGAAATATGAAAACAATGGAGCAACTGTAAAAGCTTGAATTGATTCTGTAAAATGTTTCAAAATTTTAAATATTGTCTTACTTTTAAGCCAGTCGTGGATTTTTGAGCACTAAAAGTTGATTTCTTATTTTATCTCCTTTAAAAAAAAAACCAAAACAAAAACAACAACAAAAAAAACCCCAGAAAGTAACAGTCTCAGAACCTAGGCTATTACACACTGAGGCACAGATTTACTGAATAGACAAGGGAAACTTTAACACTCATTCCCTGTGTCTTCAATGGAGTGTTTGCAATGTAACACTCCTAATTTCTCTTCCATTCTGGCAGATAGCCGGTATAGGGAGGTGGAGAGAAGCAGTGGCACTGTGCAGCATCCAAGAAATAGATGTTTGTCCTTCTTCATGTCACTGAGTCTGTCACTCTTAATGGGAAAAGCAGGGAGGGTGGCTTTGGCCCTGTATGCACACACATTGGGGTTCACCCCAGTATGTGTAGTGTCCGCCTAAGATTAATCTTAGAAAAGCTTATTTTCCAAGTGTAGTTATTAAGAGTTAATGACTAATTAGAAAGTGGGACTTAATCTGTATGTTTATCCTGTTACAAAGAAGGTATTTACATATAAGGAAGAAGCATATGAAACCACTGGTAGACTTTACATTTTTCTTTTTTTTTTCTTTAAACTTTGATATTGTGGTATTTGAAATATATTTGTTCAGTAATAGAAATGAAATGCTGATTTTTTTACAGAAAAGACAGTAATAACATATCACTTGTTCTTACTCAGTGCTGCTTCTCCTAAGGGAAAGAATGCTATCTAATGCCCAAATCCTGTTGGCTGCTATACATCTGCATGAATAAAAGCAAAACCTCTATTATCACAATCACTGAAACTGCCCAATGAAAAAGAAGCCACGAACATTTTAATTAGTGCTATTATCAGGATTCGGTGACACTTGATACAGCAACTTACTTATCAGTTTACTCTTATCTGCGATGCTCTCTTTTGCGTTAGTGTCTTAAAACAGTTTTTGTTTGTTTTTATATTAGAAATGTCAAGGCTACTAAGCGGGTTAGTTGTGGATAACAGCATGATACTCCGTGGTCTAGAACTCTGCATCAGCTTCTGGATCTATTTATCTTCTTCTGAGGATGTTCCTTACACTGAAAGTTCCTAATAGCTTTGTTCAGCCAAAATCAGTGTGACACAGCAGGCATTTTCAGCAAGCGTTTTGTTCCTGTTTCTCACACATGGACTGCCTCCCAAAAAGACCAGCTCCTCAGAACATAACTATAGCCCCACGTCTGTTCCAATGCAAGGAAAGGATTAACTAGTTTCCATCTTGCATTAAGAAAAGGAGACGTTAATATTGTATTAAGAACAATGTGTTCATACACTTCAGTACGTCTGTTGCTTTTTGGAATCCTGAAAATGTGGCTTAGTCTTGTGACACAACATAAAAAAAAATGATGTTTCTAAACTGAAAAGCCAGTAGGTTTTGCTGGGTGTTACTTGCAGTATAACTGGTAGTTGCACTGTTTGAGAAATGGCATGGCACGGCAGAGGCAGCTCTGCTGCCTTGGAGTAGCTGTGTCTGTGGCAGGCAGCCGTGTCAATTCCCCTGTGCGGCTGGAGATAGGGTGTGTGTGCAGCCCGTGACATGCTCGGAATATCTCTTTAAGAGGAAACTCCTGGGATTGTTGTTGCCTCAGAAGTTTAACACAGTGTCTGAGAACATTCAACATAGTCTTAGGATGACTCATGGATTTTAGCTTGTTATTTCCAAACAGCTCACTCTCTTCTAGCTCTTCTTATATTGAGCGTTTGAGAGCGCATAAATACTTTATTAAAAAGAGAGAGACACAGATTGAGACACAATAATGGGGCAATATGAGTACCTGAACTAGATACCTAAATAATACTGCTCATAACTTTGATGAATCATTTTTGAGCAACAGGAGGCACTCCCACCCCACAGGCTAAGCACACTGCTTGCACAGTTCTCTTGACCTTGAGAATGGAAAATGAGAATTAGCTGAAATCTGTAAGGCAGTGCTAACTACCAGTAGACCACTGAACAAGCCACGTACTCTGAACTGCAGCTCCGCCAGTCTTTGTTCAAAATTTGTTTGTCAAATCAGGCAGTTACACCTTCCCACCCCCCCAACCCCCGTGTGTGTGTGTGTACATAATTATTCAGAACTCTTTAGGTGGTAGGCTTAGATGTTCTTCTGGTAGATGATAAGAACTGAGTGCAACTGTTTGCTTTTATACTGTGTTCATCTGTATGTACTGCATGTGTAACTACTGTAGCAATACTGAAACAATCTGGAGACTGGATGGAACCTCTGTGTTCAGGATAGTTAGTGATTTCTTTCCATATATGATAAGCCTAGCTAAGTTAGGAAAACAACATTGAGGGCAAGAATCTCTGTTCCAGAGAATGCCATTTACTCTGCTGAGGATTGCAGTAATGAAGTTCCTTGGATCACCCTAATTAAAAACAAACAAACAAACAAAAACCCAGCAGAAAATAAAAGGAGCAATACATTTTAGATACGTTTTAAAAAAAGAAGAGAAAGAAGTTCATGCAAAAGACATTTAAAGGAGGGGCTGTAAAGTATGAAAAAGGTGAAGTATGTTGGATAGAAGTTCTCAGATATAAATGTTGTTTATAATGTGGTACAATCTGTTATGGGTGGAAATGTTGTTTACCGTACAAAGCTCACATTTGATTCTTCTTTTCTAAAATATTTTAATTGCTGTGTAGTATTTCTATTCTGTATTGTAGTTTGTATCCTTTGACGCACACAAAATTTAGGTAGGGGGAACTGGTTTCCCCTTTGTGAAAATAGGCTATTGAAAAAAATTAACACTAGAAAGGACTTCTATCTCTTCCTTTGTTCTAATTTGTTGTTCCTCTGATAATTTTCAGAATTTTCCCATTTTAAATCTTCTTCCAACTGAAGAATTCTATTGTTAGACAGAAATCAAATTTTATAGGTACAGGCACATCATCATAATTATTGCATTATATACCTGCTATTCCTTTGACTTCATTGGAAATCTGAAGAGTAAGTGGTAAAGATAGAACAATTAGAATTAAGTGGAAAGTATTGGTTATTAAGACCAACCTGAAATTCTCCATTATATGAAAGTGTCATCTTTTGAATACTGGTTCAGAGGTGAAGTTCACTGCAGTAACTTCTTAAACATCTACCGTAGTATTTGCAATGCAAACAAGCTTAGACTGCATAGTCATCAACCCTCTGTCTTCCCCCATGTTGACTTTAGTGTAGTGTACATACTTGAAAAACTTAGTATCTTCTTCTAAATATCTACATAGTCAATATTACTCAGTGTTGCTTAACATCACTTCTGCTTTTTCTTTTTTAAAAAAAACATTTTATTACAGATAATTCTTACTGTTTTACAGTAGACATGAAAATACTCAAAATTATAGTTTATCAAAATACTTCATATTAAAGTTTTAAAATAATTTCTTCTTCTAGAACAATGACTGCCTGACTGCACTGGGGGTGAGAGGAGGAAGCAGTTGTCCACTCGGGCAAGAGACAGTAAGTATTATGTAATTTTTTTCAGTGTCTTCTATACCTGTTACACTGTATCTGTGCTTTTGAAAGCACATTCTTTTTTTTTTAGCATGATCCCAAGGCTTTTTGTGCTATCCTAGATTTTGTAGTTCTTACAAACATGTTTACAACCGGCATAACCACTTTACTACTTTTTTTTATATCGCTCTTGAAAAATAATTTTGTAAAATTCTGATTAATATAGATTTCTTTTGCTTGAACTTGGACCCAGACAGAACTTAACAAATGTCTGAATGTCACACCAGAAGAAATTCTCTTGCTTTGGGCATAATTGTGTTTTACATTCTTCTTGGGTCCTGAGGTGCACCTCCTGTATCCCCTTATGGTCATTTTCTGATCATATGTTTCCAGAGAATATAATGGCAGTTTCCACATTTCGTTTAAGTTGTCAGGCTTGCTAAACCGGTTGTATTACAGGACACATTGGTATTTTATTTTTTTATTTCTGGGACACCAGACAGTGGGACTTGCTTGATTGGTTTGAACTGTTTGTTGGCAGTGTTTCCATGTTCCTGAATTTTTGTAATTTTTTCCAAAAAACATTTACACCAGAACTGTCTTACAAAAGACACTGCAAAAGGAAGTATTTGTTGCTCTGCCTTTCATTGTCTTTCATGCTGCCAAGTAATTAGTGTTACATTCCTTTTCTTTTATTTTAACCTTAAGTGACCTCATGATTTTCATAGTACTATTGCTAAGGAAACCATTGTCACTTAACTGCAGTGGGCACTGTTAGAGCACCCCTTACTGGATATGATCATGCAAGCTTCCAGTCCTATACTGTTTGTCTATGGTGCTTATTAGTGTGTTTTAGTTTGGTTCTGTTCTATAGTTCATATTTCTGTATTGTCAACATCACCTGTAATTATTGTATTAGCTTTCCTAATGGAGGGAGGAGAGTTATGATAAAGGATGTTTTATTGTTTAGCTTCTTTATGTAAATTCAGGATTACTGAATGCATATTTAGATAAATTTCCCGTCTACTGAGAACTATGCTGATACTAATTCTTTGATGCTGACCACCTCACAAGTTACCACATAGAATTTACAATGGTAGAATCATTTCCATCTTTTCCCATTCATAACTGCTTTAATCTGTTTAACTGGTGACATGACATTATGAAGATACAACTGACATTGGCTGTATTTTTACACACATAACTCACAGGTGAACTTACTCAAAATAGAAATACAAATATCAAAAGCACTGTGCAGTTCAGCAGTCTTAGGATTTTAATGCATGCATTAGTAATAAAAAAGGGAAGTTTTTTTTCTCCAAATCCCTGTCTTCATAACTTTGCTGTCTCCTTCAATCCCCTATAACCTCCCATCGCTCCTAACAATCCCCGTTTCTGACCTCTTTACTTACAATTTCATAGAGGAATCTAAGGTGAAGATTGTATGTAGAGAAGCAGTGTTCTTTGTGTAAAATAGGTCATAATTTTGCTCTTCACTTATGATGAGGGAAGTGAGCAATTCCCTTATTCCTTCAGTTCACTTGTTTTCTTTTCGGTCTTTTCTGCTCTGAATTCATCGGGACAGATTTTTGTTCATAGGGCATAGGAAATAAATAAGAAATTATACTTGATATTTTCATATTCAAGGTAGAAAGCAGGCTTCTGGTAATGTATTCTATGTAGTATGCGTGGTGCTGACCACGCTTAAAACTTTTTTCCAGAAAAGTATAGACGCACTGTATTTCACTGGCAAATGGATTTATTATGTGAAATGGAATATAAATGTATTTTTGGCAGATATTTATAAAATAGTATATGCAAATCCTTATTTCTAAACAGCAAAAAAATGAAGTGGAGTGATCAAAGCAAAACTTTGCAATGATATTTTTGTACTAAATTTTTCCTTCGGTAAAACTGTCATACTATTGAAGTATTTATTCGAACACATATGCTTCATGAGCACACACAGAATGGGATCTGAAGGTAGTGTAACAATTCTGAGAAAGTGAATGTATGAAGTTTTTTTTTTCCTTTTGCTTCACAAGTAAATTGCTTATAAAACTAACAGCTGCTGTTTTGAAGCTAATCTTAGTGAATTGAATGTTCTTAACCATTTCTACAATCCCACAGTCCTTTATCTTGCCTCTCCTGCTGCTTTCCCACCACCCCTGATCCCATTAGCAAAACTTGAGACAGCCTCAGCTTTTACCAAAGTGCAGCTTTGGTTTCAGCTGCTTTTCTGCAAGAGGAAGTGAATGTTGCGCTTTTTTCTCTGTGGCATGGTTGTGATAAAGCTGTGGTGCTCTTATCTCTCTTTTAGGTAGTGGCTCTTTATGACTACACAGCGCATCGATCAGATGAGCTAACCATCCATCGCAGTGACATTATCCAAGTGTTATACAAAGATAATGATAACTGGTGGTTTGGCAGCTTAGCAAATGGACAGCAAGGCTATTTTCCAGCTAATTATGTGGCTGGTGAAAGTAAGTTTACTGCTGTCTTCCTGGTATACCGGTGTGGGTTTAACTGATGGTCCAAGATTTTACCATGCAGTACTGCTTGTTGTTCTGAAGATACACATTTATGTAGCACACAGATGGCATAATGATGACTTACTGCAATGCAGAAATTGTATAAAGTTAGCTAACCACTTAGCAAGTTGACATACCTGACTTAGGAAGGTATTGGGATGTAGTTAAACATTCCAGCTTATATAGTACTGGCTTAATTATCATTCAACTGGGTTGATTCTTTATCTCTTCTTACATATAACCACCTGGTTCATGCCCTACCTTGGCAATGTTTTAGGACACATCAAAGCATTTCACAGACATCTTAGGTTTTTCTTAGGCAACCTCTGTTAGATGTAATCAGCTACTTGTGTAAAAACTCTTGAATTTCCCCCTACTCTAATGGAGAATGTTCAGTTCCCAACTAAGTGGATTTCAGTATGAAGTTTTAAAAGAACAGTAATGGTTAAATGTCATATCTGAGCATTGAATTTGCTACCAGGTCCTTGTCATAAGTTTTGATTAAACTAATACAAACCTAAATGAATCTGAACAAATAATATAATAAGCATCCTACTGAGTCAACTGATGTAAAGATGCTCAGTGTCCTGACAGTTGTTAGTATTCAGCTTATGGATGTAGTGTGTGGTTGCATGCCACAAGAAATAAATTTGCCTTCCTAAACTATCAAACTATCAGTTATACTGGTGTTTGGAAATCTTTTAACCCAACATTTCTCAAGATGTTTTCCCCCACTTTCTAGTTCCTCCCTCTGTCTTTCAAGTGAGGTCTAGTATTTATGCCTCTTTCCTAAAAAAAAAAAACATGGACATAACACTGTGCTAACTTGATGATGGTAATTAAAGTTAGCTTAACTACTGCCCTTCCCCTTTGTCCTCCCCTTGCACATCCTGTGCATTTTCTCCTTCCTTTCTTCCTTGCAAAATAAGCCAGAGAGCAGTCTGTAGGAAGTCTTCAGTGATGGCCAATTGTTCCTAAAAAAACAAAACAAAATTTTTGAGGGGATTGTCCAAGTTGTGCAAACTGTGCAAAAAAAAAAAACCCCTGGTATATAATTTGTTATTTCACTTGGTGACCATCTTATTATTGAATCAAAAGAAATGCATATGATACTTAACAAATGTATCAGCTGCATTGCTATCAGTATAGACTTTGTTCTTAGTCATGTAAATGTTTGATTGTTTTTATTTTACATAATTACCTATATAAATTACCTATATATAAATCAAACTTAAATCTAAGCTTACTGATATAAATAAAAGTTAATGGGCAAATTTTGATAAATTCTCATACAAAGTTTGGCTTCAAACATTTTTCACTTGTTTCAGTCCACATCCTGGTTTTAGCTATATTATAATGTCATGTTTGTTCACATAAAATAGATACTTCCATAATTCTTTCATGGCTCTCATAATGGTGAATTATGGATCCTGTTTTCAGAAGAATATGAAGAACAACCTTCAGGATTAGTGCCAGATTCTACTCCTCTCCTACCTGAAGGACCAACAGAAGCAGAGGAACGTTCTCCAACACTAAGACATAAGGTAATAATTTGAGAAGGAAGGATTCTGTAAGTATTGGTGGAGTATATCTTTTGTGTGCCAGGTGGACTGTATTAATTTTAGATCCTTTTTGGAAAAATTTCTTATGTGTAGACCTCATTCCAGGCAAGCAGCTAGATTTTCAGCAGATGTCTAACGTTTGTCTCGTGTGGAACCAGCTGTTCCATCATGTGGCAATTAAATATTCTGCCTTACATCATTGTAATGAGTGGTGAATCTCCCACTGACTCCAAGATTTACAGAAGTGTCTCTCACAGCTACCTGATGTAAATGACAGTTGAAGAAACAACATGGATTTGTCAAAACCTGACATACTGTAGGGCAGTTGACTGTCATTCTTGGAATATGCACTGCCCACAGATTCTTCACATTTTCTGCCATGAAATTTCCTTATCTATTGGGTTGCTTAGAAAAAAGCTATACTGTTTTTCTCTCTAGAGGTTTTCAGTCCATGTGATAATATCCTAATTAAAGATATACATTGTGATCATAAAGCCTTATTACCAGACCAGGAGATATGCTGCATCTAAATGTGCTTACTTGTCAATGGATGTTTCTGTTTAAAAGCTGCTGATGGTTCTCTGATGTGAATGACTGCACCTATCCTGTAGGTTTCTCAGGAGAGTGGACTATAGAGACTTCATAGTTTGAAGGAACAAAGGAAAGAAAGGCTTTTGTCTTGACTATACCTAATATCTCTCCACTCCCACTGTATACTTATTGAGTTGCATTGCATATGGCATTATGTTGTTGTTTACGTATCACATACTATATGGTACGCAGAGGCTGCATTCCTGTATCTGTGATTTCAGTTAGCAGTCAGAATACAGTATATACAGAGGACAAAGAAACAGCAGCTAGTTTTTAGTCAAGGAAAAAAATAGGGGCTTGATTCTTACTTCATTTTTTTCAGCTCTGTAGAGATACTGCTATGTGCAAAGCAGGCCAAATGACTCTCACTTCTCCAGACAAAGAGATTAGAAACTTTGCATAACTTATGTTCCCCTTCTGTGAAGTAAGGCTGATGATTGTCTTAAAACATGGGAAACTTCATAAGCAAAAAAAAGTGATAGAAGTTAGTTCAATAACTGTTTGGATTTAAGAATTTTTTTATTCCAAAAGGTTTGTATCCTTCTTAAGTGTGCTTTCCACAACTATTCATTTAGTAAAATGGTACTAACATAACTACTTTAAAAGTGACTTTTGTTCAGATTTCTTTCAAATTGCTTGACTTTTCCATGTACTTTTCTAAAATTGAATCTAATATTCTGCATCTGATTTGCAAGACTCAAAACTTACGCTGTGTTGCTTAGTTACAATTTTTTCTTTTTTCAGATGATTTATCTAATCTTTGCTGCATAATATATATTGCAATGTTCAAGATTAAAACACTCAAAGCTACTTCTATTAACCTTTTTTGTGTAGCTTTTGTTTTTAATAGGTGAATAGAGAGAGGTAGCATTTAATAAATTATTGAGTACACATTACTCACTTGGCAGTCTTGTTGAAGCCAGCTGTCTTGTTGAAGCCAACTGCTATAAATCGAATTACTAAGTGTTTTGTTTCTAACTATACTTGAAAAATGGAATTAATTACTACAGCGAGTACTAATAATTAATCTGAAGTATCTTTTACTTCTTTGTGGCTGAGAAACTCATACCCAAACCATTGTCCATGAAAGACAAGGGTACATTACTTCCAGATACTCCTGTAAAGGCAGACTGGAACAAATATAAGAAAAATGACAACATTACTGGAAAGCATGAATATTTCTTTCATCTGTTGTCTACGTTGCTGGAGGCAACAAAAGTATCCCACAGGGAATATGTTGCTACACTCACCCAGTTTCAGTCATACCCAGAGCAGAGAAGGGAAAAGTGCTGAGGTACTTACTGTCACTGAAGACTTCATCATTTTTATCCACATCTTTTTTTCTGTTCTAATCTCATAGGAATCTAGTTGATTTACTGGATCAAAACACTTTTATGTGCACTAACTAATGTTACGGACATTTACAACCAGTATTCGTTATTCAGCTTTGTGAGAAGTAACATTTGATTAGTTTTGATTGCTTATGTTTTCTCAAGTGTCTAGAGCTGATATTCTTCTGATAATAGTTTTTGTATTACTAGTAGCACTTTTTTAGTAACAGTAATATTTCATCAAAATACTCTTTACTTGATTCTACTGGCACTTTGAATTAAAATGACTGCATATTAAATAATTAGTTGGAATTTTGTAGTATTCTATATAGTACATACAGATACTCAAAAGACATAATGAATGAAGTGTACAGTAACAGTCCAAAACCAAGCAACTATGTTGCTTTTTGTCTTGCATGGCATCCAGGGGCACTACAAAATCATAAAGAGTCCAGAGAAAAGTAATGAATCGTTTACAAGTCCTGGAAAAAATGGTATAAGAGGATATACTTACAAGATTAAATTAGCAAAGAATGAGCAATGAAGACAGTGTGTAAAATAGTACATAATGTAGAGGGGTGAATTGGATGTACTCTTTTTTCTTTTTTTTTTCCTTCTGCTGTTAAACAAGATCAGGGAACATTAAGCTGGAATAGAACACATCTAATATTGGTAGAAGAAAATTTTTGTTTATGCCATGCTTAGTTAACCTGGTGAACCTAGCTACTACAAGACACTATTAAACTTATGTGCTCAGGGTTTAATTTTTTTAGTAACACATTTTAGGCTGAGGTAATGACTGAGACTCCAAAAACATCTGAATGTCTGGGAAGCACAAATCTGACTGTTTTTTTTTTAATTTCAAGTTACATTAGCACGTATAAATCACCAAGAATATAGCGAGTTGAATCAAATGATGAATCAAATTTCTGTGTAAGACTTGCGATGCCTCGAAGTGTAATGGTTTTTCAAAAGCTGCAGAGTGCTGCATAGAAGAAACAAATTGTCATTCAGCTGTCTGTCTTAATGAAGGAAAGTTCTGTAGTACTTTGGCCTTAGGCAATACCAGATACTTCTGAGACAAAACTGCTAAGAAGACCACTGAGGGGGCTGATCGGTTATGGCAGTTCCTGTGTTGCAGCAGTGACACAGCAACTTTTCTTCCTATTCCTTTCACTTTTTTTTCAGTATAAGAGCTGATGAAAGGAAATGCCAATTTCTTTTACATGGGAAATAAGAAAAATCATTATTTTGTAATACTCTATTTTCTTTTTTTTGGCAGAAAATGAAGCTTTTTTTTTAATCCAGAAACATTTATTGAATTATTAAGTTGTTCCTTAAGTTGTTCCCACAAGCAGGAAAATATAACTGATTTCTTTGATTTTGTGTGTTCTTTGGCCACAAGCACATTTTCCCAAATACCTAGTTATACCCAGGTCTGCTATATCTATTGTTCTTTCTGGGGTTTTTTTGAGGAATACTTAAATATTTAGCTCTGTTAAGACTGCAAAACACAGTTACTGTGAATATCATCATAGCAGTTACTCGTGAGATTTTGCTACCATACGAGACTATATAGGACACTTAAAATATAGAAAACTACTATGGTTTTAATTACTGAGAATACCAGATAGTCTAATTAAAAGTAGTTTTCCAACTGCAGATATTATAAATGCATATCTAGCTAATCATCAGAATTTTATGATGAGTGAATAAAATGGAATCATTAACATTAGAAGAGGGTGTAGTACTCAAGATTCAATATTAATCTTTGCAAATAAAAAAAGTTGTAGTTCAAAGAACCTGCTTTCAAAACGCTTTCTACCATCAGCTTTGCATTCATAACATAATAATTTTATGCAAACCTTGTTTTCCTGCCTTATGAGTTACTTAACTCCTGAGCCACAAAATTAGGTCATAATCATCTTTAATTACAACATACATGTAAACTGCCAATAGAAATTTCATGGAGTGAGGTTCTCGCTGCAGTGGATGAAGAATCCCAGGAAATAGAGACAGACCTGTCATCTGGTTGCTCCAGTAAATGTGCTGTTTTCAGGTTCCTTAAGATGAAGGCAGAAAAGATAGGAATTCAGATAGGGTTGTATTAGAAACCAGAATTTGGGTTTTGCAAAATTTTGGCAAATCAGAGACATTTCAAAGTCAATAAGGTGTCTTCTCCCCCCCCACCCCCGAAATGTTCTGCTGTCTATAAAAATCTCATGAATATGTTTTATAATTTAAGATGGCCTACCACTCATTACATAAAATGCATCTAATTGGATTCTGAATCTTAAGTACTCAATTCTACATTATGTGAGAATAGTGGAAAGTAGTAATAGACAAAAACAAAACAGTAATTTAAAATTTCCATTAAAGGTGTAAGGAAATACTCTTTCTAGTATATTTATCTTTGAAAAATGATGTTAAGGTATAAAGCAGTGGTCATAAGCATGAAAAGAAAAGGGTTACCTTCAAGAACTACATTATTATTGCATGATTTGGATAATCTACCCAGAGATCATCAAAACTTGATTCCATGTATATTTAAACAAAGTTTGGGATTATCACTGTTCACATAAATAATTCATGTTCTCACTCCTCTTCCCCTAGAGTAGGTTGTTGTCAGACTTTCTGAATACTTAGCCTAGCATGTCTGAAACCAACCTGCCAAGCAATTGATGTTTTTCCCCTGGGCTTGAACACTTTCAATGTGGGTGTTTTTGTGGGCTCAGCGCTTATTTATTGGATCTAAAAATTAAAAAAATGTAGAAAACTTGCTCAAAAATATTTCCAAAAATACTAGCTAGACATTTTTCTATTAGTTTAATAAAAAACTTTTATTTTATAGTTTGTGCTGTTTCTATTTTCTCCTTTAATGGTGCCTTTCTTCAGGTTACTAGGGGACACATCAGTGACTGATAATCTTTTAGGAAGAGGAGAGACTAGGAAGATGTGATAATGTTAATTAAAGAATTAATATGATGGAACTCTTGCAGTGCATAGAGCTGAAGACTCTCAACACTTCATCAAACGTGTTCACTTTCAAGGTTCAGAGAG